TTTTTGTATTTTTAGTAGATACAAGGTTTTACCATATTAGCCAGACTGGTGTTGGACTCCTGACCTCATGATCCACCTGCCTTGGCCTCCTACTAAAGTTCTGGGATTACAGGCATGAACCTCTGTGCCTGCTATAGTTGTACATTTATTTTTGTGAGACAGGGTCTCACTCTGTCATCCAGGGTAGAGTGCAGTGGCGTGACTGCAGCTCACTGCAACTGTGAACTCGTGGGCTTGTGTCCGCCTGCCTCAGCCTCCCAGAGTGTTGACTGTACCTGGCCTGAAGTTTTCTTTTTTTTTTTTTCCTCCCACATCCTCCCAGCCTGAAGTTTTTAAAGGGCTCTTTGCAGGCTTTCCAGAGCTCTAAGGTGGCATGGCTGCGACAGCTGAGAGGCCCCAAGGAGGTGTCTTCTGAGGTCAGATTTCCCAGGAGAACCTTCTGCTTGAAGACTTGGGGAGCCGGGAGGGGCAGTCTCCTTCCCTCAGCCATGCTGGTGCCCAGTCCCCACCTTCCACCCCAGAGCAAACCAAGGGCCAGGTTTCTTCCTGCTTTCAAGCAAACCTGCTCTTTGTCTGGTCCTGGTCTCCATCACCCCCACTTCACAGCTGCCAAGGGGTCTTGTAAGCCGGGATCAGTTACTGGCTTTCTTTCCCTCTAAAATTTCTGTACTGCTCGTCTGTCATATGACTGAGTCTTTTCCCATCCTGTGGGTCTGTGCTTTTTGGAGAAATCTCCCTCCTGTCATTCTGTTGGGCTTCTGGTGGGGAGAGGGGGTGAAATCAGTGCTTGTGCATCTTCCATCTGTAGCCAGAACCCCAAGGTTTAAAAAAAAAAACAAAACCCTGGAAACATCATTGCTCTACAACCACCCGGTATATTAGACCTACCTGAAATCCCCAGTAAAAGAGAACGTGACTGGACACACATGCTATTGTGATGCGTGCTTTATTGTTTTAACTCCTGAATCCACTGGCTGACCCCAGAGCCAGAAGAATAAGCAAGAATTAAATAACTCTTGATGTGGACACAACTGGGTGGTGTGAACAGGAGCTGTGGCTTGGGGCATGGGCTCCACTCGATTCCCCAACTGGGTTTCATTTTCATCCCCAACCAGAGCCCAGGGCTGCCCTTGGTGATACCCAGGAGAAAACCCCAGCCCACACTCTCCCAATAGTTTCATTTGCACAGCCAGGGGAAGCCCAGTTAGAAAAACAAACTGCATTTCTCTAGACCACGTTCAGTGAAAAGGGCTGGCTTGGGGGTGGGTGACCCGCTGGATTCCTGCATTTCTGGAGCAGTTCTCAGACAGCCGAGGGATCCAGCTGCAGGCCGGGGCTTCCCGAGGCTGCCTCCATGTTCACTGGTCTCGGGAGCCCTCCTGTCCCCTGAGCGTGCTCACTGCTTCTGCTACTATTATGGCCACAATTACTTCCCATCAGTTGTTCAGTCACTGAGACCATAGGGTTCTGTTCCCATCCACTTCCTGTTGGTGGACGTCCAACTGTATTGGCGTCATGGGAATTCCTTGGATCGTAAGTCAGGAATTAAGGACAAAAGCATGAGTCTGTCGTTCCTGGGAGAGTTTGCAGTAGCCCTGGTCAGGCCACGTCCACGCTGGAGACCCCTTGTGCTGGACAGGAGACGCAGGCTGCTCGGTCGGAGACCACGCTGTCCAAGGCCCACATCAGGATGTCCGGCATGTGGTCTGTGAGCATCTTCGGACCTATGAGGATTTTGCTGAATTCTGCTTCATGTGACCACTTGGCGCTATACTGAGCAGCAGGGCAGCAGCCAAACCTGAAGCAGAAAAGGAGAGACATCAGCTGCCAAGCTGCCCCCGGCTAACCCCCATTCCACCTGCCTTCCTGCCACCACACTCACCGCCCCGAGGTGCCCTCCTCCTGCAGGTGGATGATCCTGCCGGGAGGATAGAGAGGGGGGTACTTGGGAGAAGAGTCCAGTGGGGAGTCGCTGGAGAAGCTGTAGGCCGGGGACCAGCGTGTCAGCAGGCTCTGCTCTCCAAGAAGAGGCTGTGTCAGAATCTCGTGGTCACCCCCGTCCAGCTCAGTGGGAAAGTTGTTGGGATTTCCTCCAAACAGTTCGTACCACAATCCATGTAGCAAGATCTTGTACTGAGGGCGAGACCCAAGCAGCAGAAGGCTGTCACTCTCCCAGCTACTCACCCTGTCACCTGAGACCTCCCCAGGCTGGGAGCTGTGCTGGGTGGCGGCCACCTTGGCTCAGGACGCGAATGCCCTTGCCTAGTACGGATCATGAGTGTGGGCTCTCTCTTGGGCAGTAAAACCATCACAGACACAGCAATATTTAAAAACCAAGTCATAAAGATTGTGAGGGAACATTTCCCTTAATTATTTTCAGAAAATTCTGCAAATCAGTTTTACCCTTCCCTGAAAGACATTAGATACTAATTTCTAAAAAAAAAAATTGGAGGCTGGAGTTGCAGTGAAATCCTGTCTTTACAAAAAATACAAACATTTGCCATGTGTGGTGACGTGTGCCTGTAGTCCCAGCTACTTAGAAGGCTGAGGTGGGAGGATCACTTGAACTTGGGAGGCCAAGGCTGCAGTGAGCTGAGACTGCACCACTGTACTTCAGCCTGGGTGACAGAGCGAGACACTGTCTCAACAACAACAACAAATTGGAGGTAACTGATAAGGAGAAAATTTTAAATTTTACTACTTCTTTCTGATTAGGAACAAAACCATAAGAAAGGTCAGAAAACAAAGGGGTTAAGCAAATAAAAATTATCTCTACCCACACTAAACAAAACCACACTGGGCATATGTGTTCTCAGATTTTTTCTTAAAACTCATATGTCTGTATCCCTCTGCCTTGGGTTGTATCACTTAAGAATAATTTTTAAGTTTTGTTTTTTTGAACTTTTCAATGGATATCTCTCTCTCTTGGCAGATACAAATTTTTCTTTTTTTTTTGAGACAGTCTTGCTCTGTTACGCAGGCTGGAGGGCAGCGGTGCAATCTCAGCTCACTGCAACCTCTGCCTCCTGGGTTCAAGTGATTCTCCTCCCTCAGCTTCCCAAGTAGCTGGGATTATAGGCACCTGCCACCACCCCTGGCTCATTTTTTGTATTTTTAGTAGAGATGGGATTTCACCACATTGGCCAGGCTGGTCTCGAACGCCTGACCTCAGATGATCTGCCTGCCTCAGCCTCCCAAAGTGCTGGGATTACAGGCATGAGCCACTGCGCCTGGACGGCAGACAAATTTCTATGACCATATCAAAAACTTAATTGTTATGGCCCGGTGTGTGGCTGACAGCTGTAATCCCAGCGTTTTGGAAGGCCAAGGCGGGCGGACCACAAGGTCAGGAGTTCAAGACCAGCCAGGCCAACATGTTGAAATCCCATTTCTACTAAAAATACAAAAAATAGCTGGATGGGGTGGCATGCAGCTGTAGTCTCAGCTCCTTGAGAGGCTGAGGCAAGAGAATCGCTTGAACCTGGGAGGCAGAGGCTGCAGCGAGCTGAGTTTGTGTCACTGCATTCCAATCTGGGCAACAGAGCAAGACTTCATCTCAAAAAAAAAAAAAAAAAAAAAAGGAAAATGAAAAA